AATGGAGTGACCTTATGCTGGATGGTAACGTTGACTGTACATTCTCTAAACAAGAAAAGATTGATCGAATTGAGTGACCTTATGTTGGATGGTAATGTTAACTGTATATTCTCTAAACAAGAAAAGATTGATCGAATGGAGTGACTTTATGCTGGATGGTAATGTTAACTGTTCATTCCCTAAACAAGAAAATATTGATCGAATGGAGTGACCTTATGCTGGATGGTAATGTTAACTGTACATTCTCTAAACAAGAAAAGATTGATCAAATGGAGTGACCTTATGCTGGATGGTAATGTTAACTGTACATTCCCTAAACAAAAAAAGATTGATCGAATGGAGTGACTTTATGCTGGATGGTAATGTTAACTGTACATTCCCTAAACAAAAAAAGATTGATCGAATGGAGTGACTTTATTTTGGATGGTAATGTTGGCTGTACATTCTCTAAACAAAAAAAGATTGATCGAATGGAGTGACTTTATGCTGGATGGTAATGTTAACTGTACATTCCCTAAACAAAAAAGATTGATCGAATGGAGTGACTTTATTTTGGATGGTAATGTTGGCTGTACATTCTCTAAACAAGAAACGATTGATCGAATGGAGTGACCTTATGCTGGATGGTAACGTTGACTGTGAGCATGCTTCACTGTAAAGTCACTTTCACCACATATTTTCATTTATATCCGTAGACTGAGTGACCAATCATTTGCATTTGAGGTCGCATAAAGGATCATTATATGTGTGCTCTGCATAAAAACTAAACTGGAGAGGGGATAAACGATATCATTCTTTCATGGTTTAGTTTGGTTTGAATTTCGCGCAAAGCTACACGAGGGCCATTTGCGCTATCCGTTCCTGATTAGCAGTGATAGGCCAGGGGAAAGGCAGCTAGTCAACACTACCCATCATCAACTCTTTGGCTACTCTTTTACCAATGAATAATGAGATTGACCGTCATATTATATCGCCCCCACGTCTGAAAGGGCGAGCATGTTTGGTGAGGATGATTCGAACCCGCAAATTACACATCAAGCGCCCTAACCATTAGGCCATTCTAGGCCCACTCTTTAATAGTGGTCTAGCCTTGTTATGGCTGAAATATAAATTAAAGTTATTCTTTGATTATTGTTTGCAGTGTATCATTAAGTTAGTTTTTAAATATCATAATCTTTTTACAGATAATATGTATGTTTCTCGTAAATCCATTTTCTGCGATTTGTGAAAAAATAAATAGAATATTCTCTGTAATAGTAACAAGCAGTGTTCGTTACTTGGTTGTGACAACATCTAGAGTATGCTGAAGTAATGAAGCCAAACAAGCTAGACCGAAAGGAGTGGCCCAGCGTGTTTATAAATACAACATAAAACTATGTCTTAGCAGTAGGCCTGAATTATTAAAATACCGAACCGAGATGACAGATTCGCGTGCTTAGGTACTGCAGAGTTACATCGAACGTGACAATATGCACGCACCAATTGCTGCTTTATTGAGAACTTTCATAGAATGAAAATGGGTCTTTAATAGTGAAGTATATGCTGAAATCGATATTCAACTTATAAATCCACCAAGTCTTTATAGAAGAAGAAAAGTAAAGAGTTAAATTTATCTTTAAATTAAGGTGAATTATAGAGAACAATTTAGACTACTTTATGCTATAACTGGAAAGTCTATGCACATTAGGCCTAACAGACTAGAAGATTGAAGTATGTCCAACAGGTTATTTATTGATAGTAGTGTACTGTCTTTTTACGATAAGCCCCCCCCACCCCCACAGTGGCACAGCGGACTTACAACGCTAGAAACCAGGTTTTGATACCGTGATAGGCAGAGCACAGATACCCCAACAACTTTTATCAAAAAATCAATAGAGGGTCGAAATATTCTTCTGCAGCATTCCTCCTGTTCTATGGCGTAATAAATATTTTCAATTGATTTATTTATATGTGGTGGTATGAACTGTTAAGAAGATCTTTACTAACACCTGCTAGTGAATGCAGAAAATAACATTAGATCACCATAGTAAAAAACCTGGTGCCTTCCCACGATGGTAAGAATGGGGTAATTTATATCGTGGAAATTGTCTTGCTGTGAATTGTTAGTGCGCTAACTCTTCAGCCGAACCCGGCATGGCCAGGTGGTTAGGGCGCTCGACTCGCAATCTGAGGGCCGCTGGTTCAAATCCCCTTTCCACCAAACATGCTCGCTCTTTCAGCCGTGGGGGCATTATAATTTGACGGTCAATCCCACTATTCGTTGGTAAAAAGAGTAGCCCAAGAATTGGCGGTGGGTGGTGATGACTAGCTGCCTTCCCTATAGTCTTTCATTGCTAAATTAGGGACGGCTAGCGCAGATAGCCCTCGTGTAGCTTTGCGTGAAATTCAAACCAAAATAAACAAACAAACAATCTCTTCAGTTCAGCTGGTAGAGAAGTCGCCTGGCGTTTGGAAGGTTTTGGGTGCAATACAGACCCGCGAAATTATCATACATGTTCATCTGTTTCTGATGTAGACAAAAATTTGTTTGAAACTTCAAACTGGAACTAATAGGATATGAAAATAAACTGGTGCAATATAAATACATAGCAAGTGAATCCAAGCAGCTACAACTAGATATTTAGTAAAAGTATAATTGTATATTAGGAAACATTTTAAATCATTGTTTACCGATGTTCGATATATATATTTTTCCAACTTTCATAAACTACGTATCGTAAGATAAACAGTTTACTCCACCTGGTGCTCTCGGGTGGGCCAACCAACAGTACAATTCCGGACTTACAATATTAAAATCCGTAGTTCGATTCCTCGCTGTGGACAGAGCACAGGTAGCCCATTGCGTAGCTTTGCGCTAAAAATACAATCAGCTTCATAATTAGGCACTCATAAAATAAAATGTATATAATTCTTCAGGCGCTCGTCGTAATAAACAATGGTACTTTATCAGGTGTTCGTCGTAATATAAACAGTATATTTATTCAGGCGCTTGTCGTAATATAAAAACGGTATACTTTATCAGATGCTCGTCGTAAGTATCGTAGTTCCCATGTTTATATAAGAAGTTAAGAAAATAAATTATAATTACCCTGTTCATTTCACTTTCTCTCAACAGGTATAAAACTTATCGCCACGTTTTCATTCCCAGTGTGTACAGTATATGATGATTTGTGTCGAGATTATAATAACTTAAACTGAATTCAGAAAGAGTCTATGTTTTAAAAGACCAAATAAGAAAACGTTTTTTGTTTCATTCTACTTCCATTAAAATATCTATTCCGTGTTCCATAATATCATCTAGAAGAAAACCATTTCTTATTGTAATATTTATTATATGAAGAAGGTGTACAGATACTGTGCACGTGCACTAGAGATGGAAACACATTCTAAACAGGAAAATGTTTTACATGTAGCATTTACACACACACATATAATATGTAAGATCACAAACGTTTATAGGTTTGCGAATCAGAATCGAAGATTTCACAAATTTTTTCATAAGTTGTGATCTTGTTTACCAATAACAACATCTGAAAAGAGTTAGTGAACTCTGGGTATATTACTACCAACAAACTCTTAGAAACGTCTGAGAACTCAACATGTTACCAATAACAACATCTGAAAAGAGTTAGTGAACTCTGGGTATATTACTACCAACAAACTCTTAGAAACGTCTGAGAACTCAACATGTTACCAATAACAACATCTGAAAAGAGTTAGTGAACTCTGGGTATATTACTACCAACAAACTCTTAGAAACGTCTGAGAACTCAACATGTTACCAATAGCAACATCTGAAAAGAGTTAGTGAACTCTGGGTATATTACTACCAACAAACTCTTAGAAACGTCTGAGAACTCAGCATGTTACCAATAGCAACGTCTTATAACAGTTTATCAAACTTGGTTTTTCTTACCAATAGCAACAGTTTATGTACTGGCACGTTTTTATAACAATTTATAAAGAATTTAATTAAGTTTCAATGTGTCTACGTCATATTGTCCAAAAGCGTCTTAGAACAGTTTATGAACCTCGGTTTTCTTACCAATAGCAATAGTATATTACCATATCATGCATATGTTAGCACGCGTATGTTTAAGCATTACCATACCGTGTATATAAAGACGTGCATTTTTGTTTAAACATTATGATATCACGTTTAAAATGACGTTTAAATGTTACCATAGAATGCATATAATGATAATATGGTATCTTTGTTTTAGTATTACAATACCATATATTACCATTTTTCGTATTTAAGTATTAGCTTTGAAATTTGGCAAGTTTACCTAATAATTAATATGAAAGAAATAGTCTTTGTTTTCCTGTTACCATTTTTATATGGTCAAAGCGTGATTTTGATTAATATATTTTAATTTTCTTGTTTGTTGTTAAGCACAAAGCTACACAAAGGACTGTCTGTGTTATCGAAAACCGATTTTTAGCGTTATAAGCCTTCAGACTTACAGCTGAGCCACCGAGGGTGGTTGGGGGGCGTGATCAAAATGTATATATTATAAGATTCAAAGTTTTACTGAAACACTGCAATGGACCTATGATTTATCTAAACTGATGCATTATCACCGTGTCCATGCACTGTCACAGTATTATTCTCGCTGTCTTTTATCAAGCAAAAGTACTGGGACCGATTAGCTAAACTTTTATTGTTTTACCACTCGGTGACATATAATGGTTTTCTGTACTCGATCACCAATGTTTCACTAATGGGTTCAGGTAAAACTTTCCCTAGTGGCCAGTTTCTCTAACTTAGTTTAGTTTACTCGTAATGCCCGTGTCTTTAAAGCCAATATTTGTTTGACATTATACCAGTACTGTGAGTGTATAATTACAACAAGACAAGGTATCTTATGATATGTTGCGTAGTGGGTGTGGTTTCAAGGCTCCCACTCTCGCGTCGAGAGTAAGAAGTTCGAACTCGACTTTGGATCTCGTTCTACTAAACGCAACAGTGAAATAGATGAGTGCTAGAGTGGTTAGTGTACTGACGCTTTTAGCTTTATCTTAAATTTGAATAAACCCTTGAAACGCAAAGCCAAAGGTTTTCATGGTGTGCAAGAAACTCGTGGTATATTCAAAGTTTTCACATTTTATAAGCACGCTGATTATTATATTTTTTCGAAGGTTATGGAAGAAGCTGATTGGAGCGAAATGTTGTAAGTGTGCACGTTTGGTTGGATGTTGTTGTTTTTTATATTTTCAAGTAACCCAAGTTTTTTTTAAATGTTTAAATTTTTATGAAAGGTAAATGTACATGAGAACTAAAAAATGTTTTAACTGTTTATTAAATTATAATATAAAGATACACCAATAAATAGAACATCTGTTTAATGATTATATTAAAGACTTCTCTTCACAAAAGGTAAAACTGAAACTATAATGTGTAAAGTAGAGGCCTAATGCATAGATAGAATACCCTTTTAGACAGCAAATAAAAAAATTAAATAAATATTCGCGCACACAAGATAAACAAATAAACCTAAGGTACTGTGTGTGGTATTTTAAGGTTTAGTATGACCAAGTTCTTGATCTTCGGATCTAGCACTTAGCAATATAGTGAAGTTTATCGTAGATTCAACTGGGTGACAATAGAAGGGTACAACGAAACAAAAGCTCCTAGTAGCACAGCGGTATGTCTGTGGACTTACAATGCTAGAAACCGGGTTTCGTAACCCGTGGTGCGCAGAGCACAGATAGCCCTTTGTGTAGCTTTGTGGTTAACTACAAATCAAAATCAATCATAATGAAACAAAAACATGCCATATTTTTAACAAACAAGAAGTTGATATTAAGAGTTATTCGATCAGGAAAGGATTATTGCGTTAGTGGATTTGAGGATAAAATTAATTGGCCAAGATTATATAAAATGATCAACTAATCTGCATTTAAGTGAAAGCGGAATAAAACGAACTATATTTAAAATCAAATACTAGAATATTATCGTTAAGCTTACTGCAATGAGGGCGCGGATTAGCCGTATGATAATGCTTTAGATTTCGTATCAACTGAAGTTAAAATTAATATTAGCGAATTTTAAGTATTTTTATCAATAATTTTCTGAGCTATAAAATGATCCTGACTATTACGGTACTAAGATGAGAAATCAGTTCATTTTATATATATAATGGTAACTGTATTCCAAAATATATTTATGTGTTGTGAGAGTAAATATCGTGAGTAGTTCATAACATTGAACTTTGACAAGGCAGCCAGAGGGTTTACTTATTCAGTAAAGCTTGCTTGCGATGACAAATGTGTACAGAAAGCCTATTCGCTAATGTAAAGCAAAATAACTTGAACCTTTGTTGTTATTGTTCTTTCAAAGATTTCGCGAATAACGAATAACATATATATAGCACAGGAAATACATTCTTAATGAAACTTTTATAAAAATAATGCTTATCGGATGTATGATGATCCAAAAAACGCAGTCGAAACCCAGGGTTGTTGTGTGGTTTCTATTCAATTTTTGGTATTTCTGCTCTAAAACTATAGTAGCTCTAGAAACAATGTGCAGATAAAAACAATTTGAAATTATTCACTCGAAATTTTATTTTATTATTTCCAACAGTGCAAGTTCTTTCTTAGAGGACAACCGATCCTACAATCTCCTAACTTCACACTGTTTATTTTATTATTTCCAACAGTGCAAGTTCTGTCTTATAGGACAGCCGATCCTACAATCTCCTAACTTCACACTGTTTATTTTATTATTTCCAACAGTGCAAGTTCTGTCTTATAGGACAACTGATCCTACAATCTCCTAACTTCACACTGTTTATTTTATTATTTCCAACAGTGCAAGTTCTGTCTTAAAGGACAACCGATCCTATAATCTCTTAACTTCACACTGTTTATTTTATTATTTCGTTATGAGACAAACAAGTTGCATTGTGCGTTTTTAATATTTCATTATTATTTGTTTGAGACAGAAAGAAAGAAAAATTCAAGAGAGTGTTGCAACTTGTGCGTGACTGCCGCAATTTTCTCGATGATCTGTTGCACGTACTACTGGTGTATGAATTTGAATACGTATTGACGCACTATTACGGCATGAATGTTACAACTGAGGGATGTACAGCTTTGTATGAAGAACATGCACTGTAACGGCTATAGCCAAGCGATGTTATTCCGAACAACTCGAATTATACTGTTTTTAAGAGCATTTTGTATGATTTTAAATATTGATGACACTTACCAGCTTATTCTGGTAGTATATTTCGAGTGAAGACGGATAAACGACTAAAACTGCTTTCTTGTGACTGGTCTACTCGAATCGCCATCTGTTGTCGAACTAAACGAGAATACGAACATAAAGAAACTACTATCACACTAACGGAAACACGAAATTGTAGTCTATTGTCAGGTTTGTCTGAAAACTATATAATCCATGCATATAAAGTGTAGTCTGCCATTCGTAACTGCTGTTGAAAGTTGTGTTTAAAATATGAACAGTGTAGTCTGCCTCTCGTAACTGCTGTTGCAAGTTGTGTTTAAAATAAGAACAACGTAGTCTGCCTCTCGTAACTGCTGTTGAAAGTTGTGTTTAAAATATGAACAATGTAGTCTGCCTCTCGTAACTGCTGTTGAAAGTTGTGTTTAAAATATGAACAATGTAGTCTGCCTCTCGTAACTGCTGTTGAAGGTTGTGTTTAAAATATGAACAATGTAGTCTGCCTCTCGTAACTGCTGTTGAAGGTTGTGTTTAAAATAAGAACGATGTAGTCTGCACCTAGTAACTGTTGTTGAGGGTTGTGTTTAAAATATGAACAATGTAGTCTGCCTCTCGTAACTGCTGTTGAGGGTTGTGTTTAGAATAAGAACGATGTAGTCTGCACCTAGTAACTGTTGTTGAGGGTTGTATTTTAGATATAAACAATGTAGTCTACCACTCGAAACTATGTTAAAGATTTAGAAATACGAACAAAATAAGGTGACTTCAAATTCGATGACGAGGAACCCACTTTAAGACTAATAATGGCTGGAGACGGCTTGAATGGGTAATGAAGAAAAACTTTAATATAAGTTTAACATAACAGCAAATGTACAACGTTTTGACAAGATTTTGTCACCATCACCTGATTACCTCATTACCTATTCAAGCCGTCTCCAGCCATTAAAATAAGGTGACGTCGGATATCCTTATAAAATTGTCATTCTAGAATTTAAAGAATAATTATAATCGTGTTCGCTGTACAACCCAGCTGTTAGAGTGTCGGATACACGTTCAGTAAAGTCTGCTATTCATCTGTTGTTTCTCCATCAGAAGTACGAAGAATGTTGTTTGTCACTAATAATGTGTCTGCCGGAAACATGGTCAGTAAAGTCTGCTATTCAT